TCTATATTGTTATTCACTTTACTCTCATGTGGCTATTTTAACTACTTCAATATGCCTTTCCAATGTTTCTGTTTTAGTTATCCAAGTGTTCCCATTTTTAAAAAATGATCCACTTTTATGCAACTAACCATCACTTACATTGAGAGAGGAAATCGCCCTCAGTGAGGCACTTTAAAGCAAGTCTGGGAGTAGTACAAACCAGAGTCAAAGAGTTACGAGGAGGCAGAATTGACGTGTCCCCAGGAAACAGGCTACTGAGGTAAAAGGAAGAGGAACTGCCAAATATAACGCTCGGATTTCTGGCTTAGGCAAGTGGATGGAGGCTGGAACTCACTCAGCAATGGAAGATATATGGTTCTGGAAAAGAAAGCTGTATGCTCGAGTTTTGGACATGCTGATGCCTGTGAGTTTTCCGGTTAGAGATGTATGAAAGACAGCTGGACAGGCCCAGAAGCTTGCACTGGGGAGAGAGTGGGCCACTTTAGCAAGGCCCCACGCAGGCTCCTCCAGCATCTGCACCAAGACTAGTAATGCCACTGTGTCTTGACTCAACCCTGGCCCTTTAAACAACATGGGCACCTCTGAGGTTCACATCTGTAATGTGCATGCAATCCTGAGACACGAAGGATCTACCATGAAACCACTTCATCTTTTCTCCCGGTAGAGGGTCCCTCAGAGTACAGTGTTATTAAGCCTCTCCAGGGCAACTTCAGGAAGCCTGCAGCAGAGTAGACTGGATCCAGGCAGGACAGATGCAGATTGTGCTATTCTAAGCCACACTGACCACCAGACTTCTCCTTCAAATTCCCCAGCCTAAAACCAGAAGCAGCCATAGCCAGTTCACTGACAAGTGCAAGAAGATAACTTTTTTTCCATGTAAGTTGTGCATCGTGGCTTTCTATGAGACATTTCCTAATAACTGCATTGGTCCCTTGCTTCTAAAATAAATATTGACCTTAGACTAAAGTAGAACTTAGCCCCAAAGGGTAAAGTCTGCAAAGCTGCAAGAAGGAAATATATTAGGTAATGTCTCCCTCAAGTATGAAATCATTATAAAGTCTTTCAGGGAGAAGTTAGCTTTCTGCCTTTATTTATACTTTTGGTCTTTGAGAATGACAGTTTGGTAAGTAAAGACATTTTAAAATTTGGTCCATTACTAAATTCAGATCAGCAAAAGAGAAACTACTCAGGGTGTTTGAGTTTTGTTTTCTCAAAAAGGTACCTAGTTTACAATATCAACTCAGATTCGTTTATAGGTAGCACCACCTCTAGACACCGTAATTGCTGCAGGCACACAAGAAAAACTGCATTCACATCCATTTCATGATGCTACTTTAATTAAATGGGATATTTACATGCTAAAACTAGCCAGCCTGGTGCAAGCAGGGACGAAACAGCACATGCTGGGGAGTAGCTTGTGTTTTGGCTGAGCATGGCTATACAGGGGACCGACTGCTGTTCCTGCTTCGGGGATACTGTCTCCTAAGCAGAGAAGAGATGCCTGCTAAGGGTAAGTATGACTCAGTGTTCAGAAAGGAGCTTTCATTTGTGTCCTGTCTTGCTTCTGGTATCCAATTATCTTGCCACAGTGGAGGAGAAAAACATGCAATTTAATAATAAAAAATGAGTTGGGTCAGGGGCCACATGTCTTTCACAGAAATTCGAGGAAAATACCCAAGTAGTCAAGTCATTGCATCAGGTAGCTTTTCAAACAGCCACCTGCTGATTTACTCCATGTCGGTAAGCGTGGATGGGAGGCACACAGAGGCCACAAAGGTGGGAGGTGCGATGCAAGCATTCTGCAGCTTGGCAGAATGTGATCACAGCCAGCACTGCAGGAGAAGCTCCTTCTCACAGGGGCCACTTGGGTCAAGAGGAAAATTGTCATGGACACCAGACAACTAAGGCCTCTGTGAGCTTCCCTTTGTGATGACAGTTTAAGAAATCAGGAAAACAGTTTTGACCATAAGCAGATGAGATTTTGTGGCCTTTGCTCATCTGCTGTGCTGCTGTACGGACTCCAGTTTTGACTCTGCAGGTACTGTTTTAGGTACTTCACACACGTGGTCTCACTGGAGGATCCTCATATTGTCCCCAGCAAGTCCATGTCAGTCACAGCGACACCACCCTGTTTTCTTTTTCCCTATCCATATCCTTATCATCACATTTCATGAAAGGGTAGAGCTTCATATGAGAAGAGTCTGATCCACCAGGCCACAGTCCACTAGACCAGAGGTAGACACCTAGGCATCAGGTAAACTGAGCCAATCAGATTCATACCTGTAGGAATTTACAGTTGGGTATAGATTATATATCAGAACCAGCAAATGTTCTAATGGAGGGGACATTGGATGCATTTGCAAGTCTGTGGAGAGAATGAGAAATAATGCAGAGGGTTTGGCTGCTACCCAAGTGAGAGACCAGAATGAAGCTCCAGGCTCCTGGCTTGGACATGGTCCAGCCTTGGCCACTGTGGCTATCTGGAAAGTGAACCAGCAGATGGAAGCTATCTCTCCTTCTCTTTCTCTCTCTCTCCACCCTCAACTCTAACTCTTTCAAAAAAATCAATACATCTTTGTTTTGTTTTTAAATCTGTTCAACACATTGACTATAACACAATGGACTATATGGTAGTATTCTCATCCTCATTTTACTGAAACATACTTGAGACTTTTTTTAAAAAAATATTTATTTATTTATTTGAAAGGCAGAGTTAGTTACAGACAGAAAGGGAGAGGGAGCGACAGAGAGATTTTCCATCTGCTGGTTCACTCCCCAGATGACTGCAACGTACAGGGCTGGGCCAGGGCAGAGCAAGGGACCTGGAATACCATCTGGGTCTCCCAGGTAGGTCAAGGGCCATCTTCCTCTGCTTTTCCTAGGCCATGAGCAGAGAGCTGGATTTGAGGTAAAACAGCCAAGATTCCAAATGGCGCCTGTATGGGATGCTGGCATCACAGGTAGCTCCTTAACCTGCTAGGCCACAATGCCAGCCCCACACTCAAGGCATTTAAACAAGTTGCCTAAGATTGTGCCAAAGGTAAAAAGTGGAATTCAAACCCAAGTCCATATGACCCCAAAGTCTGTGCTTCTTAATACTAGATTAATTCATATCTAAAAATGTCATACCTTGCTGTCTGCTAAAGAAATCTCAAGCTATTCTAGCTAGAATCTTTGTGATTTTTCAGAAGTTCCTGCTCTCAGAGTTTAACATTCTATACAACTGCTCACTGGAAACAGACAGTCATAGAGGATCCATATTTTCATCTTCATCATTAGGTCTGCAGAAGTGGAGTTTCCTGCTTTCTCCCTGGATTGGTTTTGTTTAAGAATTCCAACTTTAATTACTTTTGCAGATCATAAATATCCCCAGTAAGTTAGACTTATCTCTTCCCAAGGAGACATTTCTTAATTTTTTTTTCCTGCTCAATTTTCTATGTGTAATTTATCATCAATAGACGATTCTACATTTACATTCATGGACTGTTTCCCAGAAGAAAGTGACATGTATTTTCTCTCCCTAACTAGCCATGAATCCAGAGTTACTCACATAACTTCTCAAAAGCTCAACTTTGCAGTTTAGTGGTTAGCCTTCCTTTACGGAGAAAGCACGCTCATTTAATTGATCTTACGGTCAGTTCTGAGCTCTCTGGGCTCTTGTCCTGGGAAGGAAGTCCTCACCACTCTTCCTCCGCAGATAGCCACTCAACTCACAAGAATCTGGACTTGGGCCACTCTTCGATTCAATGATTATGTGCATGGTTTAGGATAGGATATTTTTACTGCAGTACAAGCCAAAACCCATCACTTGGTACAAATCCATCAGTTTTGGTTATTTGAATTTGTTACAGTCCTAGCATTGTAACATCAGCAAGAATTTATAAAAATTATCCAAATATCCACCCTCTAAAAAAAATCAACCTGCCTTAGTTTTTCTGTTAACGTTTGTATACTTTTTACCTACTTTTAACCATAAGAGATGTTGCTCTGTATTTAGCTTTCTTTGCCTAACTTGTCAGTAAGCACTTTTTCCATACCGATAATTCTTTTATATTAGCAGTGAGTGGCTACACATACCCATGGTAGGTTTTAAGCTTTGAGTGTTTCCAGTTACTTCTTCACAGAACACTAACTCTGGCAACAACCAAGAATTTTAGGTGACAAACTCAAACTCCTCCTCATCTTTGAGTGTTGATAAGCACTGGTCACCTGTAAACAAAAAACCAAACTAGAAGTGGGAGAGGGGACCCTATCATATTACTAGTTTTTCATTTGCCTGGTAGCAGATCAATCTGCGCTAACTTCTTCCTTGGCAATACTCTGGGCAGAGGTTTTTGAGAATTTTCTTCTTCCTTAGGGTCCATGAGCAACAGAAACATTACTTGGAATCACTGCAACACCTTGCTTAGCCAGGTGGGGCTGTACGGGTCAGTGGCGTGCCTGTAGTGCAAATGCAAACTAGAGTTTCTGGTGACCTCACAAAGCGGCAAGCCTCTGTCTTCTCTCCAAGCAGGTCCCAGGTGTGTCACAGAAAAATCCAGGATGACATTTTTCTCCCTTGTGACCAGAGCTGAGATGCAGAGGGACTTGAGGCCTCTCTGGTTCTGTTAGCACATATCTTTCCACTGTCCTCCAGTGGACGTGTGTTCCTACACCTCTTCTTCACAGTGATTGGGGCAGCAATATAAAACTGGGCAACAACAGCCTGCAAGTTAGCCTTAAAACACACATGCCCCTACTCTTCTACACAAATCAATTTTTTCCATATCAAACACCAATGGATTTCCTACTCAAAATTCAAAGAAATACATAGCACCACCCCATGACAAGAAAAGTACAAGAGGGGAAATAAGAGGTATCCTATGTTTCTTACCATGTGTATGCTGGCCATCTCTCAGACTTACTTTTATAAGATTTCACTCTTAGTTTAAGTCATAGTGTTTAAAAAGTGACGCAGTTTGCTGCCTTGAAACCCAGTTTCCCCAGTGCACTGAGTTCACCTGTTCTGAGTCTTTGCTGACACTCAGAGGAGCCTGCTGCCGATGAGAGCCACTCTCCTTCTGATCTGGGCCTCTGAACTGTGAAGGTCTCCGTTCTAGTCTGTTGGAAGCAGCCTCCAGCACCCCCTTCTCCTGCCTTTTATAATGGCCACAATGATGTCACTCTCAGCTGCTTGTCAGCTGGTTCCTCAGCTAAAGACCATGTAAATGGCTCAGCCTGAATCACTACCCTTGGCATTATAAGGTCAGAACATTTTGAACCGTGGCCAACTAGACTTAACTCAGTCAACACACTGACCCAACAGATGAAAACAGTAACTTATTCAATCTATGCACTAAGTGAACAAGACGTATAAAGAAAGCAAACATGTTTGACAAGCTTCAAGAAAGTCTCAATGGGCTTTCTTCTCCCCTTGATCTTCTTGACCACTCTGGCACTTGACATGATGGTCCCTCCATGCCTCCACTCCTGCCCTGGCTCCCTGGCACCCACAACACTTTAGTGAGTTCTGCTCTCATACCTTTTTTTTTTTTTTTAAAGATTTTATTTAGTTATTTGAGAGACAGAGTCAGAGAGAGAGGAGGGTCTTCCATCTGCTGGTTCATTCCCCAGATGGCTACAACTGGGCTGGAACTGGGCAGATCCAAAGCCAGGAGCTTCTTACGGGTTTCCCACGTAGGAGCTGGGGCTCAAACTTGGGCCATCTTCCACTGCTTTCCCAGGCCATAAGTAGAGTGGAAGAAGGATTTCTGGTTCTGTTAGCACATATCTTTCCACTGTCCTCCAGTGGACATGTGTTCCTAGAACTGTACACCTCTTCTTCACAGTGATTGGGGCAGCAATGTAAAACTGGGCAACAACAGCCTGCAAGTTAGCCTTAAAACACACATGCCCCTACTCTTCTACACAAATCGGGCCATCTTCCACTGCTTTCCCAGGCCATAAGTAGAGTGCTGGATTGGAAGAGGAACAGCTGAGACAGGAACCGGTGCCCATATGGGATACCAGCACCGCATGAGGAGGCTTAGCTTACTATGCCACAGCGCCAGCTGCCGTTCTCATTCTTCTTACTGCATTGTTCGGTTCCCTTCGTGGTTCCCACATCCTCCTGTTCCTTCAAGAATTTCATTCAGGCCAGACACCTGCCCTTATCACCCACATGTGGCTTCTCGGTATTAGTAGGGAGTTGTGCTAGCATACATTTTACAGGATATTGAAGGATGCTAGGCAAGAAGGGAGTGAACCTTGGGAACACCTGAGATGGGGGTTCAAAACAGGCAGGCTCTCCCCTCTCCCAATTTTGTTTTCTTTATCTATGTGTCTGTTTCATTTTCTTTTGTGAAGACTGAGATTATATCTGTTTTCTTCCAGAGGGCAGTAAGAATTGGATGTAATGAATTGGTCCAAGTTCCAGATTTCTAGGAGAGGATATCAACTGGCTTAGTTTAGGCTTAATTTGAATAAAATCAGTTTTGGCTAGGGGAAGAGTCCAGGGGAAGGAGTTACGGTTAAGAGATCATAAGAACATAGGATTTGGTATTGTTACCTCCAGACTTAATCCCCCACCTGATCACACCAGTAATTTTCTGAATACTGTCACATGCTGCCACCTCAATTTTTTTAAAACATTTATTTATTTATTTGAAAGAGTTACACAGAGAGAGAAGGAGAGAGAGAGAGGTCTTCCATCTGCTGGTTCACTCCTCAATTCACTATAATGGCCGGAGCTGCACTGATCTGAAGCCAGGAGCCAGGAGTTTCTTCCAGGTCTTCCACGTGGGTGCAGGGGACCAAGGACTTAGGCCATCTTCCATTGCTTTCCCAGGCCACAGCAGAGAGCTGGATCAGAAGTAGAGCAGCTAGGTCTCGAACTGGCACTGATACGGATGCTGACACTGTAGGCGGCGGTTTTACCTACCTACACCACAGTGCCGGCCTTGCCACCTCAAATTTAACAAGCCAGAAACTTACCTCATAATCTCCCATGCAAACAATCTGCCACCCTCACTCCTACCTTTATTTGTGAATTATTCCCTCATCATCCTTGGCTAAATCTTGAATCATCCTGCCTCACCAATCTCTTTCTTTCTCCTCTTTGTGAAGTTATCGACTTGTAAAATAGTATTTAGTGAACATTTACTGTATGCCTCCAAATGGTACAGATGTTATCTCATTTAATTCTCAAAACAAACCCCCAAGGTAGATACTACTGGTGAAGTCAATTTACAAATAAAACAATGGCTCAAAAAATTAAGTAACTTTCCCATGATCACATAAGTACTAAGTCATGGCACTAGGAAGCAAATTTAAGTCTATTCATCTTCAGAAGAGAGGGAGAGAGAGAGAGAGAGAGAGAGAATGAACTATTTATTTACTTACTTAACTACTATTTGAAAAGGAGAGAGTAAGAGAGAGAGGCAGGCAGCTTGCATCCACAGGTTAACTTCTCAAATGCCCACAACAGCCAGGGTTAGGAATGAGCAGCCATGAGCTAGGAACTCCATCTGGGTCACCAAGAGTGACATCAACCCAAGTATCTGGGCCATCATCTTCTCCCTAACAGGTGTATTAGCAGGGATTTGGATCAGAAGCAGAAGTAGAACTCAACCTCAGGTACCCTGATATAGGGTTCAGGCATCCCAAGTGGCTTCTTAACCCACTGTGATGCAATACTTCACCCAGAACTAAAGCTTTTAGCAATCTACTGTGCTATCTCATTGCTTCTCAAAAAATTTTGCTACCTAATTTCCCTGATACTTCAAATCCTACAAATCCCTCCCAATCACCTGTATATCCTTATAGACACTCCTGGCACTATACTTCCCCTACAGCTTTTAGAGTTATGCAATTTCCTTGGGAACCTGGAATCTAGATTCAAGCTTTATCAGGAGTTCAATTTAAAAAAAAAAAAAAAGATTTTATTTACTTGAAAGGCAGAGAGAGGAGAACCCTGACAGTTTTATGTTAAGATCTTTAATAATTTATTGTTTTAAAAGTAATTAAATATATTAGCTTGTTCTGTTTCCCCTTTAGATCATTATTCCTCTATCGTCTGCATTTTTCATAAGTCACAAAAGTCCCAAAGCATAAAATGCCTTAGATGGATATAATTACCTGGCATTGCCCCTATGTTTTGAATCAAGTATATTTTCCTTGACTGGATGCTCTTTCCCTTAAGGCTACTCCTAGGAAGTTGGCTTTGACCAACTTCACAAATCCTCTGCCATTGTTCAATTTTCCTTGGGACATGGTAATGCTTATCTCCCTTCACACTCAACCTTCTGCTGGTCTGTGCTGTGTTTCCACTGGTTATGACTGGTAGTTACAGCAGGGATACTTCAGTGATCCAGTAGCCAGAGATCCTTGTGATCCTTGCTTCCTGGCACCCACTCCTTGGTTTAATACCTTCCCTCGAGTGTACACTGAACCCAGTATTTGCTTCCAACCAACAGAATACAGCAACGGTGATAAGAAGTCACTTCCACAATTGAGTTACAAATGATTATGATTGCCATCTTTCTAGCAGACTCCGTTTCCTTCTCATCTTGTACACTTTGATGAAACAAGCTGCCATGTCGGAGAGGCCCCGGTGGCAAGGCGATGAGCAAGATCTGCATCCTCCTAACCACTATGTGAACTTGGAAGCGAATCTTTCCCCAAATAGAGGACTCAGTTAAGCCCTCCCTGGAGTCTTGATCCACAAAAACTATGAGATAATAATGTATGCTGTTTCATTTTAAACAATTACTGATCTAATTAACTTATTTGAAAGGGAGGGGAGGGAGGGAAGGAGAGAGAGAGAGAGAGACATTTCTGATTCACTGATTCTCTCTCCAAATACTGCAACTGTCAGGGGCTGGGCCAGGTTGAAGCCAGGAGCTGGGGATTCAATTCAGGTCCTCCACATGGGTGGCAGGGACCCAAGTACTTAAGCCATCACTTGCTGCTTCCAAAGGTGCACATTAGCAGGAAACTGCAAATAGGAGCAGAGCTGGGACTTGAATCCAGGGACTCTGGTATGGGATGTGGGTGTCCCAAGCCACATTTTAACTGCTATACAAAACTCCTACCCACCGTGTATTGTTCTAAGCAATTGAGTTTTGTGGTAATTTGTTATTCAGAAACAGATCAGTAAGGTAACAGAATTTTAAAAATTCAACTTTTTCCTTATCATATTAATAAATCACATATTTGACTTTGGGGGAAGAATTATTTTCATAACTTTAATTTTATGTGCATCAAACAAAAGGCTATTTTTGTTCATCACTGGAGTGCTTCCAGTCCATGGCTGCCACCATCCCATGCTAGGAACAAGGAAAGAGACAAATGCAAATGTGGGGTTGTGTTTCCTTTAACCCTCCTATGGCTGGCAGGTGGGAACAGTACACTTGATATAATCACATGGCAACTCGGTTTAAAGGGTGAGCTCATGATCACTGATGCATGTGATCCTTTTAATGTCACTTCTTGCCACGGCCACTCAGCTAATATTCTTCGGGCCATTGGGTTCTTGATGTAATACCCTTTTTGCCTACATACTATATTAAAATTTTTAATTTCAAAACTGAAAAATACAACATATTAGTTTAGAACATCAATGAGAACAGTAGGGTTTCCAAAATTCATCCAAAAGAGAATGAAGATTACATTGCCAAATAACCTGTTAGTTTTTAGTTGCAGTAAAGAAGGCATAACCATTATCCCTTCTTGTGATGACTTTTTGGCTTTAAAGACTGTATTCTTTGGGAAAATACAGAGCAAAGGGACACCCCTACCTGATATGATTTCCTTTGATGTCAAGCGTTGTATTCTAATTTTCACAAATTACAGGAAGGTAATATTTTTCAGTGAATTATTTTCCTAGGAACAGAATTTTTACACTGATCCAGTCATCAAAGGCTTATAGTCTCTATAAGTCAATATCCAAATTTCTGTTTATGGAGAAAACAAAGATGCATTGTTTCTTCTGCTTTCTCCTTGTTATTGTATTTGGGTGCACACACATCAGCTATCAAGCACAAGTATGTTTATGTGTTAGATAATCCTTTTCAGGGTAGGGAAAAGGGTAAGAAGCCAAACGCCATCCACACGTAAACAGTACCTCTCTTCTCTAGGAAACAAGTAATAATCTGACTTGAAATTGCATTTTTAAAACCACATATTTTTTTCATGTGCATGTAGGTACAAGCAACTTATTCTTTGTCACTATCATCCCACGTATCTGACTCTGAGTCCAGCTCTTAACGCTTCTCATATAATGTGGCCCTTTGTAATAAAATGCAAAGAGCTTTCATGGAATGGACAATGAGTTAGAAAAAAGGATCTGGCCACAGAGTAGTTGGCCAACATCAATTCCAGCTCCCACACCACCTGTTTTCTCTGGAATCCTGTCTCCGTTTTAAATCTTTCCTTCAATGCACATTTTTAAACAGCAATAAGCAGTGGCAAACCTAATTTGTTGCAGTTTTTGTCTTACAGCATGGGAAAATATCCACATAAACAGATGTCAATATAAAGACAGTACTTTCAGTAGAATGGTTGGTTTATGTTCCTCCCATTTGCTCAAAGTACTAACATACCATTAGCATTCAACACTGGAAAAATGAACTCGACACACATGTTCATTGTCCAATGTCAGTGTGCAGGAAAAGACAGCCACAGATTTGCACTCATTTTACTTCTGCAACTGGTGTAGGATACTGGGAACCACTGAATGGACTCATCCTGAGGTTGAGCACAGACAGATACAGAAACATTGCTATGAATCAGTCACAAGTAACATCTTTTACATTGAGAAGCTGTACACCTCATTCCTGGACTTAATGTTTGATCTTTAATCTATAGGCACACTTACACGAAATACTACAAGGGTGGGCAGTGGCAGAACTCAAATTATGGTTTGAGAGT